TGGCGTTGCAACCAACGGTGCAGATACATATACGAAGAAATAATCTAAAAATTATAATATAACAGAATGTTTGAAAAGGTCACTGCAAATCTGTCATGAGCAATTCGGCTATTTATTGAAAATTTGAAACAATGAATGAATTTGCAACCCTTTTATGTATTTTAATTGCATTTTGGATCACTACACGTGACACTAGCCAAAACATTTAAATTTGTATTTAACAATTTGGGCCCCACATGCTGGAAACTAATGGTCTAAACAAAAAATTCATTTTGCACTTGAATAATTGGCAATGAAACAGACAGGATTGAAAGACAAACTACAAGTCAACACTTTTGGCCTGTCTCTCTGCAATATCCATGTTTATATATGATAATAAAACTCTTTGCAAGTCTGCAAATTTGCAGTCATGTGTGCCGTCTTTCAGATTTTTTTTTTTATTTAAATTCTAAAAGGTCATCTTCCTCCTGTAGTAGGGTCATTTTGACCCGGTTCCGACCCGAATAAAAACTCAACGGTTTCTACGCATTCCGGACACCAAAACTTTATGTTTCAAATCCCAAAATGTTAGAAATCCAATTTCTCAATGATTCCTAATTTTATTTCCATCAAAACAAGGATTTGAAGTCCAACCCAAAATTTCATGAAAACAGTAGACTTTTGGAAATTGCAGAGAACAAAAATGAGCAAGGCAGAGGTAAACAATGCTTTGATACCAATTGTAAATAATATCTTAATGATCTAAACGTGCTTATATGATCCGAAAAGGCATATAGATCAAATGCGGAATAAAACGGAATCGAAAACATACCTCCCGCCATTGCCATTGCCACTGTCACATACTTTATTATCGGATTTAGGTGCTTCTAAACCTCGTTCAATCTCCACTAAATGGTGTATATCTTACTGTATGAGATTGGAAGACTTAAGGATCCAACCGGTGGAATAAACTGTATATGTATAGGCTCCGTCCATCATAGAACCATTCTTAACAAAATGCAAATGAAAGGAGACAATTGGGACATAATTTTGGCAATTATTCACGTCCCTAAAACGATGTAGTTTGGACATGATTTTAGCAGTTATTCACGTCCCTAAAATGATGGAAAATGTAGACCACATCTAGACCTTCATGAAAGAAAAAAATCTGACATATCCTACAATCAATATTTTTTTCCATAATATAAAAATTGAATTGCTTTTTACAAAATTTTAATTTTAACGATTGGATTCTTTAGTTTAGAAATCAGTATTATTATTATTATTATTATTTATTTTTTTAAATATTAATGCATTAAAAAATGAAAGTACCAAATGAATGAAAGTAGGCTTTGCTGAAATGTAACCGTGGCCGTAAATTTAAATGGAAGCTTGAGGATAAAAGCAGGTCGTTAATGTAAGGGCTATTTTATTTATATATATTTTTAAAAATGTTTCAATAATTGCTTTACTATAGAAATCAGGTCTTTTTTTTTTTAATAACTGTATTAGAAAATAAAAAATAAGAACAGGACAGTAGATGGGAATTCAGGGATCCTTAGTGATGGTAGCGTGCCCCGCCCCGCCAAGCCAAGCCAAGCCAAAATCCCACCCTGCCCTACCTTAGACGGCGCGGGGCAAGGCAGGTTCGGGGCAACTTTTTGTCCCCTTTGTTGCCCCATTTAATTTATTTTATTTTTACATTTTCAAAATTTTGAGTTATGTTATAATTAGAGAATAAAATACAAATTTAAAATTGGTCTTTAGAGGGTAAATTATCAAGAAATAAATTTATTTTTATTCTTTTTTTATTCCTTTTTTTTTTTATCTTCACGGGGCAGGGGGCACCCTCGACGGGGCGCCCTGCCCGACCCGCCCCACCAACCTGTTCGGGCTGGGGAGGGACGGGGTTTTTTGCCATTCCTAGGGATCCTGCCCCCATTTTAAGCAATGATGGGATGGTGACGAGGTGGGAAACTCCCCGACAGTGTGAGAACTGGATGGTTCGGAGCTAGTCGGGGGCGGGGTTTTTTGCCATTCCTAGGGATCCTGCCCCCATTTTAAGCGATGATGGGATGGTGACGAGGTGGGAAACTCCCCGACAGTGTGAGAACCGGTTTCATCATATTCAATGGACTAAATAGAACTATTCCCCAGTCTTATTTCCCTTATTCTCATCGGGTTTTCCTTCCACAATATATTGATGTTTCTATCAACTCATTTGAACAATAGTAAATAGTTGATAAAAAAAAATAATATGCCCACCTTTCTCTTACCTTCCTCACCCCACTTTGGAAGAGTCAGACAAATTTCAACTAAAACTTGAAGAATGAAATTTTGCACGCACCTTTACTTGGGATTCATTGTGTAATAGGTCTGGAGAAAAGTAAAGTAAAGAAGAAATGTAGCAGTAAGGCAATAAAAGTCCACGGATTGTGAAAATAAGTGTGAATTAGTTCAGCAATCCATGTTTTTGCCTTGCTACTGCAGTGCTCTTCAATTCTCATCTCCACATCATAAAAAATATTGTCATCGACAAGACGGCCAGTATCAATATCTTTGATTACTTGCACAAATTGTTCATCACTGTCAAAGGTGCCGAAGAGCAGAGTATCTTCTTTTCTCGCAATTCCTTCACATCTTCAGATTTAACAATGAGTGATTTTAAAAATTAACATAACATAATATAGTAATGCCAATGTTGCTTTCTGGAGATGCTTCATATGCAATCATGTATGTAAAGAATAGATTCGAAAATGAACTGAAAAACCAAATCGGGAGTTCAAGTTGCCCATAAAATGTGTAGGATTTGAACTTAATATCCTTCAAACAATGTGAACTGGGTTTGAAGTGGATTCCTTTTGTTTTGAGATCGGTGACTGAACGAAATTGACGATTGAGTAACTCATGAAATGATTTTTCTTTCCTCCACGGCCACCATTGACATTTGTTTACAGGCTGGATAAGTATTTCTCCTGCATTATCTTATTCTTTGACATGTATTTGATGAAAAGCATCCAGAAGATGAAGTGGTTGCATTTTATATTCTTCAGGAATTCTTGTTGGCCTGAAATCCCCAAAAACCCTAAAACTTAAGAATTTACAAAGTAATAAGGATCCTTTTCCATATATTAAATTAATCAAGAGCATAATGACCCAGAGTGGAATTTGATTCTCGAGTAAACAAATCTTGAAATGCAAATGTCTCTGCAGCCAGTCCAAGAAGAACTGTTTGTCTTTGTTACTTCTTGAAACAAGCTTTGTAAGGACTTCATGCTTGAATTTCTCCGCCATGCCAAGTTTTGGCAAGCCATGGTAATATGACCCAAAGAAAACCATCTTAGGAGTGTGGTAATCCTCTTTGTTGAATCGCATTAAATGAAGCACTTCATGCATTCGGCGACCATCCAAATACCGATGATGATATTCATCATCTTCTGTAATTGGAATTTCACATTTGATTCTCGGTTGTTATTTGCTGAAGGTTGTTTGTGTTACAACCCACATTTTTATCTAGCCAAAGTTAATAGTGAAATTTTCAAAATCAAGTCAAATGAGGACTTGTATGAAATAAATCATTTTTATTGGGATTTGATTGACCAAATCATTTTATTTGGGTTTATCATATAAATTATAAATATTTTGAAGGTTAAGTTGGACAAAATAAAATTTTTTTGGGATTTATTGATTTACTTTTGGAAGTTGAGGATTTACTTGTATGTTGTAATTAGATTTAAGGGACATTCTTTGCAAATTGAACATGTGGGACCTTAAAATTCAACCTTTGACATTCATTTTCCTTTCAAAGCACACACTAACACCTACAAAGAAGAAAAAGACGGCAGAGAAAAAGGAAAAAAAATGGCAGAAAGGAAAAGAAAAGAAAAAGGGAAAGAAAAGAGGGAAGAAAAGGAGGGAAAGAAGAAGAAAGGGAAGAAAGGAGAAGAAGAAGAAGAAGGAAGGAGGTAGTTAAATGTAGGAAGGAGGTAGTTAAATGTTGATTTTCATTTTCCCTTCCCTTTATTCTCTTAAAGACAGATTTGTGATTGTTTTTATTGATGATATCTTAGTTTATTCTCGCAGTAAAGATGAGCATGCTGAGCATTTGAGAATTATTTTGTAAACTTTGCGAGATAAGCAGTTGTATACTAAGTTCAGCAAATGTGAATTTTTGCTGGATAAAGTTGTATTTTTGGGTCATGTTATCTCAGCTGAAGGTATTTATGTAGATCCTTAGAAAATTGAAGCGGTAACGAAATGGGAACGCCCTACTATTGTTACAGAAGTACGGAGTTTTCTTAGGTTAGCAGGTTATTATCGTCGATTTGTAGAGGATTTTTCCAAATTTGCTCTTCCTTTGACTAGTTTGACTCAAAGAACTCCAAATTTGTGTGGACTGATAAATGTGAAAAGAATTTTTAAGAGTTGAAGAAAAGATTAGTTTCTGCTCCTATACTTACTCTTCCATCTCCACGTGAAGAGTTTGTGATTTATAGTGATGCTCCACGCCAAGGATTGGGTTGTGTTCTAATGCAGAATGGGAAAGTTGTAGCTTATGCTTCTAGACAATTGAAAACGCATGAGTTAAATTACCCAACTTATGATTTGGAGTTAGTTGTAGTAGTGTTGGCATTGAAGATTTGGAGACATTATCTTTATGGCGAGAAATGTCAAATATTTACTGATCACAAAAGTTTAAAGTATATATTTGATTAGAAATAACTGAATCTAAGGCAAAGGAGATGGCTGGAGTTGATAAAAGATTATGATTGTATGATTGACTACCATCTGGGGAAAGCAAATATAGTTGTAGATGCTCTCAATAGAAACACAAGTTCATCCTCTCCATCTAGTGCAGTTTATGCTTCTTTGATTTGTGAGTTCATGAAGTTACACACTGAGTTGACAACTACTACTTCAGGGACGGTATTAGCTCATTTTCAGGTGAGACCTACTTTGATTGATAAGGTTAGAGAAGCTCAATTTCAAAACCAGACATTGAGAATATTGAAAGCAGAGGTTAGTACTGGGTTAAGAATGGATTATGTGATTGGAGATGATGGGGCGTTGGTTATGGGTAATAGATTATGTGTTCCAGATATTCTAGAATTGAAGAAAGAGATTTTGGAAGAAGCACATAGTTCTACTTATGCTATGCATCCAGACAGTACTAAAATGTATCATACATTGAAACATCATTATTGGTAGCTTGGTATGAAGAGAGAAATAGCAGATTTTGTATCCAAATGCCTTATATGTCAGCAGGTAAAGACAGTTCGTCAGAAAATAGCAGGACTTTTACAGCCATTGCCTATCCCAGAATGGAAATGGGAACACATTACTATGGACTTTTTATTTGGCCTTCCTTGTACTCAGAATGGTCATGATGAAGTTTGGGTTATCTTAGATCGTTTGACCAAGACGTCCAAATTTTTGCCAATCAAAGCTACTTATATTTTAAATAAGTTGGCAAAGTTGTATGTGGATGAGATAGTAAGCTCTTATGGTACTCCATTATCTATTGTGTCAGATAGAGACCCTCGTTTTACATCTGAATTTTGGCCTAGTTTGCAGGAAGCCATGGGTACTAAACTACATTTCAGTACAATTTTTCATCCTCAGACAGATGGCCAGTCAGAGAGGACCATACAGACTCTTGAGGATATGTTGAGGGCTTATGTTTTAGAGCTCAAGGGTAGCTGGGATACTCATTTGTCATTGGTGGAGTTTGCTTACAATAACAACTACCACTCTAGTATAGAAATGACTCCTTTTGAAGCTTTATATGGTTGGAAATGCAGGACACCAGTTTGTTGGGATGAAGCTGGTAAGAGGAAGTTAGAAGGCCCATAATTGGTTCAAATGACATCCGAAAATGTGAAATTGATCAAAGAAAAGTTGAATGCAGCTCAAGAGAGACAGAAAAGTTATGCTGATAGGCGCAGGAAAGATCTTGAATTTGTAGTTGGAGATAAAGTCTTTCTTAAATTGTCATCTTGGAAAGGGGTGTTGAGATTTGGCAAGCGAGGAAAGTTAAGTCCACGATACATTGGACCCTATGAGATTACTGAGCGGATTGGCCCAGTTGCATACCGATTAGATCTGCCCAATGAATTATCCCGGATCCATGATGTTCTTCATGTTCCATGCTTCGCAAGTACATTGTTGATCCTTCTCATATTCTAGAGTCTCAGCCAATCCAGTTGAAGGAAAATTTAATATATATAGAAGAGCCCGTGAGAATTTTAGACAAAAAGGGGCAAATTCAGCGAAACCAGATAGTTTCACTTGTTAAGGTACTTTGGTAGAATCAGACAGTAGAAGAGACTACGTGGGAGAATGAGGATCAGATGCGTGCTCAATATCCTCACTTATTCATTACCCAGTTAGTTGTCAGTTGAATTTCGAGGACGAAATTCTTTTAAGAAGGTAAGATTGTTACAACTCACATTTTTATCTAGTCAAAGTCAATAGTGAAATTTTCAAAGTCAAGTCAAATGAGGACTTGTATGAAATAAATCATTTTTATTGGGACTTGATTGACCAAATCATTTTATATGGGTTTATCTTATAAATTATAAATATTTTGAAGGTTAAGTTGGACAAAATAAAAAAATGTTGGGATTTATTTATATATTTTTGGAAGTTGAGGATTTACTTGCAAGTTGTAATTAGATTTAAGGGACTTTCTTTGCAAATTGAACATGTGGGACTTTAAAATTCAACCTTTGACCGTCATTTTCCTTTCAAAACACACACAAACACCTACAAAGAAGAAGAAAAATGGCAGAGAAGAAGAAAAAAAAGGGCAAAAAGGAAAAGAAAAGAAAAAGGGAAAGAAAAGAGGGAAGAAAAGGAGGGAAAGAAGAAGAAAGGGAAGAAAGGAGAAGAAGAAGAAGAAGAAGAAGAAGGAAGGAGGTAGTTAAATGTAGGAAGGAGGTAGTTAAATGTTGATTTTCATTTTCCCTTTCCTTTATTCTCCTAAAGAGGTAGAGAAATTTTATGTTAAATTGCTAGGGTTTAATTTCCAGTTAAATTTTCAAATTTTTGAGATGAATACTACTTGGAGCTCAAGTTATTGATTCTTGAATTTCTATCTACACTAAGGTAAGGAGATATCAATTTTTTTGGACAAACCCTAGTTTTTAAATTTGATGATTGAGAATGGATTATTTGTGGGAATGATTACATTAATGGAATTATTCACTTGGGAGTTGATTTTATGGAACAAAATGTATATTAAATGGGTGGAATTATGGTTACTAGTCTCACTAGATTGGAGAGTAAAATTAGTTTTAAACTTGGGAAGAAGGTTTTGTTGATGAATTAGTTATTCGAAAAGGGATTAAAAAGTGGGATTAGCTCCAATTGATCAAAATAATATTTGGGAAATTCATTCGAGCATCGACCAATTTTAGTTAAATATTATAGAAGTAGATCTTAAAGTTTTTTAATTTAATAGTGGTTGATTAGTCATCTTGTTATGTATTCCAGGTGGTGACGAGGAGATTGGAAGAGCCTATCAACCATCCTAGTTTCAGCTTGTATTATATGAGTGGATAAACTTATTTTTCAGAAATTAGTATTTATTTAATTTATACTAACTCAGAAAATTTATTAATTCATACAGTTGATTTGACTACACGATTTTCAGAATAAAGTTGATTTATAATCAGTTGTTTTTAAAAGGTAAATTCAATTTGGTAAATCATTTTATTAGCATATTATATGAGTATTAAATGTTTCAAAATATTTAAAGTTATTTTCTAAAAACCACCAGAAAGTACCGAGGTGATTTTATCCTCGTCTGCACTGGTGTGAATGTGTTTCCACAGTGTATGACTCCATATGATTATTTTATCCACTCTGCGCTGGTATGAATGTGTTTCCACATCGTATGATTAGTATAGTGATTTTACCCGCTCTGCACTATTGTGAATGTGTTTCCATAGTGTATGGCCATTTTATAGCTCTGAGCGAGTACGAACAGAATTTCAGAATTGAATAACCTTGCTGTGTATATCGAGATTAATCGATATACGAGTATGGTTATTCTGGGTACATTTTTGGTGTGATGTTTCAGTATCACATTGCTTATCAGATTTTAGAAAAGCAGTATACAGAATAAAGATGTTTATGATTACAGTATATTTTAGTTTTGATAGTATTATCAGATTTTAAGCTACAGAATTCAGCTTATTCAGTTTAAAAAATAAAAAATTTAGTTTATAGGTCTGTGAATTTTTTTTTTATGCTATATGTCGATTTTCAAAAAGATTTTTATGAATGGAAAAGTATGCTTTTACGAAATATCCACTCACTGAGTTTTAGGCTTACATTTTTATCACTATTTCTCTTATCAGATAGTAGCTGAGTTGAGTACTACTGGGCCAGTTGATCTATCGAGTTAACCCATAGACTGTCAAGTATTGTATGAATCATCTTTTCAGTTTAATAGTTCATATTTTGGGATAGACATCTCTTTTGGTCAGAAATTAGTTCCATGTGTTGGGCCTGCTATGTTTTGTATATATATTATGCGTTTTGGGTACTGGGGTTTATAAATTGTTGCAAAAGTCGAATTGCCAGTGTTGTATTTGAATAGTTGATATCCTGTGAGCCAGTGTACCCTATTTTAAACTATATATATCTGTTTGGGATATTGGATTATATATTTCAGGTGGTTTTAGTCCATAATTCAGGGGAAACTTTGCCAAAATTTTTACAAAGTACATTACAGTCAAAACAGGTCAAAGTTTCCGTGATGGTGGGTCCGGCACTTAGCTGGCATCTACCATCGGCGCACGATACGTGTCGGGTCTATTAGGATGATTAGGGACGGGTCGTGTCAGTTGGTCTTCCATTATGTTCAAGAATTGAAATTTCCAATTGACATATGATAGCTTTATCACAGTTGATCCAAACTGTACAGCGTTTCCACTCTCTTATTAATTCCAAGACTGGGACGCCGGACTCCTAATAATTCAAGTACTGGACCATCAGATGAATGTGACACCGTTGGGCACTCTTAATAATTGAGGCTGTTGGAAGAAAATGGGTCGTCCATGTGGGTTGACCCGACCCGATTTGCATGATAATAGATTTTGGAGGGAGGAGTCGTAAATTAAATTTAAAAGTTAACCTCCCCACCACCATAACTCCCATAAACTTCCATCATTCAGTTTTCTGGAAAACAGGAGATAAAAAAATTCGGGTTTCTTCAATGAGTAAAAATTGGATGTGGGTGGAGGCTTGATTTTTGGAAGATGACATCTTAAAGTTGGGTTCTTGGATTGTGGCAATCAAATTCCTTCCATTGTGATCGAATTTTTGACCAAGAGGCGGGTACAAGATGGTGTGGAAGCAAGCAAACCAAAGGCAAGTAATTCAATCTCGGTTTTGTGATTTTCAAGTAAGTTTCACAATTTAAATTCGGTTAAAAGCATGCAATCGTGTTCTACGTTGGTATCAGAGCCTAAGTAGGTTGTTTTATTTCTTAAAAATATGCTGAAAATGTTTCAGAATGATTGAGATGCATGAATTTCGGTTTACTTGCAAAGCTTGAATGTTGTTAATGGAAAATTTTGATATACTTCACATAAATTCATGAAATTTATATTGTATCTTCATGATATTATGGAGAACGTATCTGGAAAATTTCACTTTGTTTGGATTTTTATTTTAGGAGAAAATTCAAACCCTAGTTGAGTAAACAGAAATTTCATCGCTTGGTAACTTCTTTCATGTTAAGTTTCACGCAGTATATTTTATATGGTTGGATAGATGTTCTTGATACCTTTCCAATGGTATAAAGAACATAAAATTTGGCCTTGAATTGAAGAAGTTATGGCCTTCCAAAGTTTTGGCAAAAATCTGAAAAAACTGCCTATTTTTGGAAGGTGATGAACAGTGCCCGATTTTTAATATCAGTTTCTGGCCAGGTCTGTTTATATCCAAAACACATTGATTTTGTGAAATCTGACCATGCAGATGAATTCAGAACATTGAAATTTGTCGGAGAGACGAAACCAAAAAAAAATACATTTTGGGAAATTGCAACAAGATCCATCAATTATTGTAAATGCAATTTGAGAAATTGCATGTTGGCCCCACACTTTTGAATATTTTCGAATGCAATTTGTAAAATTGGATGTTAGTCCTCACAATTTTTGAAGGTTGAATATTCCAAATGTAATTTGAGAAATTAT